TCCACTGTGTTCCCCAGCTAGTCACTAAGTTTGTCTGTCTGCCATTTGGTGCTGCATGTGCAGGAAGTGTACAGTGTGTTTATCACAGCTTTGTAGCTGAAAACAGCTGCCTGCTGCGTCTGGAAATGACAGTGATAAGAGCTGTGAGAGAGAGAGAACCAAAACAGTAAAGCTGCGGGCCAGATACCAAAAACAATGAGCTGAAACATGCTCTGCAAAACTGACGGGGGGGTGGAGTCAGGGTTTGTCACTACGAGTGACCCCTTTAACAATACACATAGGCATGTGATTCATTGTTAATCTAAAAATATTGATTGTAGCAGCTGCAAGCAGCCCACTTCTAATCCATCTAGGGACAATGTGGCATGTCGGTCTCTGCACTTTCTAATAAAGACAGGATGCCAAAAATATGTATATGCTAGTCACAGGCATAAAAAAGGCATCAGCATTGTATTTAAGAAGAATGATTGTGTATTCAGGATTCTATTTGTAACAGGTGCCATAAATGTGTTTTAAAATGCCATTTAAATTACAGTTGTTTGCTACAGTGTATCCATTCATGATCCTCCCTGCTATAAAAAAGACATTTGAAAACTACTGTTGGGTAGAGGCTCCGCTGTGTCTCCTCTGTCAAGGAGAAATCAATCACCCGGTCCCTGGAGGAATACCAGCTGGCATTTGAACTGATTGTGCCATTTGGCCTTGTGTGGAGATTGACTATGCTTTCCCTCATTCCTGTCTTTCAATCTTCAAATGAATTCCTTGTGTTTACAGGAGATTTCTGCCCAAAGGAAACAAACGAATGACGGCCTCGCCCAGCTGTGCCAAGCACACGACTGTCTGTTTATTCATCACTAGGTGTTTTACACTGATTGGGATGAGATTTGGCAATGTTGTTGGATCTCATAAAGAAAAGGCGAGAAGAATTAAGTGCGCACAAGAGTATAACTGTGGTAATGGAAAGTTAAATGGTCCAGGACCTCTCTGTGCCAGGACAAACTTTTCTGTAGTGTTGCTGGAAAGTTTTGGTCTAAGACACACAGGACAAAGAACAATGAATCACCATACAGTGTGCGACCTAGTGCCTGTGTGTGTGTTCATCATTCTTCCTGTGACCTGGAAAGTCCTTTGTTGTCTGCACTGGGCATGTAATCAAATGACCAAACTAAATGTAGTGTATAATTTGTGTAAAAGCAGATAAATTACTTTTCAAACTTCATAAGAAAGTAAATGCAATTCGTTACTTCTACCCTTGAAAAAACTTGTAGTATCTTTAAAAATTAAGCACTCACGCATTCATCATTTTCCATTCATTTCCGTAACTGCTTATCCTGTTAGGGGTCACTGGGTGCTGGAGTCTATCCCAGCTGCCATTGGGCTAGAGGTGGGGTTCACCCTGGACAGGCCACCAGACTATCACAGGGCTGACACATAGAGACAGACGACCATTCACACTCACATTCACACCTACGGACTATTTAGAGTCACCAATTAACCTGCATGTCTTTGGACTGTGGGAGGAAAACAGAGAAAAAGGAATGTGGCATTCGCTTTTGCTCAAGAGCAAGAAAACCTACAACTACCAGAATGCACTGCCACCAAACGCTCCCACTGGTGGGTGACATAATGTGAGCTTGGCTGTTTTTCCGCAGGAAACAATATGGCGGCCGTCTAGCAACAAATCATCTCTTATAGTTAAACAGTGAGATAAAATGTGTTTCTGAAAACAACTGCAAGAAATAGGTGACGCAGTAACAGAATCTTGGTTCATATTTGATCAACGCTACTTAGTTTCACTGTTTGAGCTCAGTTCTTCTCAGTTTGCCTCTGTTTACACAACACAGGAGACAGTATGGTGCACCATTCCTGTTCAGAAACAAGTACTTTAGCTAAAAGTGCACTAAAATTTGTTTTCGAATACATTCTCGGTGAGAAATAGGCAATGCAGTAACAGAATCTTGGTTTATATTTGATCAGCGCTGCCTAGTTTTACAGCTTGATCTGAGTTTGAGAGGAAAGGGGAGAGGCGTCTTTCTCTCTCGATTTGTTTCTATACTGTTTGTGTTCGTGGTGGTGACAGGCGTCCAAAAATGAGGAAGTACAACTTGTCCAGCCCTCATGATGGTTTTTTTTTGGGAATGTTGTGTATGATACTGAAATAAAATGGCAGCAAGCCCCAGATTCTTATTTTGCTACTTCCCCCTTTGTGTCAGGATACTCCTTGCCAAATTTCATACTTGTAAGACTACTTATGCTGTTGTAGTGCCCTAATATTTGCATTTACATCATTTCGCCAGAAACATGTCCCAGAAAAGGGGTTTTGGGCCCTGTGAGACCAAACAGCTCCAAGTTGGGGGCGCTCGTTATTAACTTGTGATGGCCAAGGTAAAGGCCAACGGAAAAAAAATAATGGAAAAAACGGTAGCAGGGGGCTGGGCCTGGCTCCCGGCCTATTGTAGTGTGAGCAACAGCCCAAAATCCAAAATCAGCCAGATATCACAAATGAGCAGGGAGATCTGTGCACTGACAAAATGGAGGGAAGTATAACATAGTAAATTTACAAATACTACCCATATGACACAAAGATGGTTGACAATTGGCAAAGTATCTCTTTAGGTATTTTTAACTCAATATTGTACTGCCAAGTCACAAAAGTTCCATTAAAAGTCATTATAAACTTGGAGGGAATCAAACTGAAGAAAGATGCCAAATTGGCTGCAGCCACAGGAGGGCAGAGCTCCATGGACACAGAGGTGACACAGATGATGTTATTTTTGGTTAAAGTGAAGACCAATGGATGCAACTCTCTTGTATTGCAACATGGCGTTGTGTGTGTTACACTGTGCAGTTTGCAAGAAGCATACAGGCTTTCTTTTTGCTTTAACATGCGTGTCTGTAGGGTGCAGCTGCTGTCAAATTTGTCTCTGTGTCGGCTGCCTTGGTAATGCTGTATTCCGCTGTTATAGTGGCAGGTTATATAATGTATGTAGCCTTAAAATGCACGTTGCACCCGCCGCATCATCCATGGATCTGTATACCTATTTATTGTTTTAAACTAATTGTTAATTTAAATTTACAGAAGTCTTTACCTCATTTCTGGTTAACTGTAGTAAGGCCAGATATTGCTTCACTAGTCTATATGTTGGCATGTCAAATGTACTTTATTTTGAAATCTGAATGTGTTCCTTAATCTAACAGTTGTACAGCATCATTTCACAATTTGAGATTTCTTTAAAGTTAACTGTACTTTCACTTGACTGTGATATTTATATCACTCTTCCCATCCCTGTTTTTTATTATTAAATGTTCAGAGATTGTAGAGACCTTCGACATTACTGAACAGAGACAAATAAAATGTGGAGCATAACTCCAAAAAAAGAAGAAAGTGGTTGAGGGAATCGTGTGTTTGTCACACTCTTGCTTTTATCTGTCTGTGAAGCTCTCTGTGGGCTTTATTAAGAGCACTGTTATGAGGACAGATGCAGTGTAATTGTTTCATGGTACTGCACGCAGGCTGCCAGGAGGTCAATCACATCAATTAACAGACGTCCACCCTGTGCTGTTTAGAGGAGCCCTGTTGATGTGTTGAGTGGAAGCCGTACACTTCTCCCGCTGAGGATGATGGCTTCCTGTTGTTAAAGCCACTGAGAAATGACTTTATCAGTTTTTCACTCGGGGAGAAGCCAGTTACAGCTCACTGGTGAGCGGTGCGGCACGCAAGCCCTTTCACCTTACGAGCAAAAAGCACAAAGCGTACGAGGGAGAAACACATACAGCGTGCTTTTATTGATCACCAGTAATGTGTAGTGTTGCGTGGGATACAGACAGCTTATTTCCATCTCACTCTGTTTCAGACAGCTGCGTTCAGTCTGCACAGCCGCTGCATGCAGCTGATGAGGAAAGTCTGTTGCTAGGACACCAAGTCCTATTGAATGAATAATGCGAAATAAATTCCTTTTGACTGGCTACTTCCTGCTTTCAGTTTATTTTATTTAGTTTTTCATGTGTTGGTGACAACACAAAGACTTTGTTGCATATTAATAAAACATGAAACAGATGCATTACAAGGTTTCTCGCCGAGGCTCATTTGTGTCTCAGTCCGTGGTGAAGCCTAAAATATAAACACTACATTGTTAGAGTAGTAATTACATGATACAGGGACATTTAGCTTCAAAAAGCACAATATATTTTACAATAACTGTGGTATATTTGTGTGTGAGTGTGTATCCTGTTGACAGATGGTGAAGCATGGCACACACCTGTGTATCTCTGATTAAAAACCATGACTGAGTGAAAGCAACTCCACATACGGCTGCCAAGCAATTATTCCACAGCAAATCTTTTGTGTTCTTTGTTTGATATCATTCATTTTTTTGTTTTGTTTACTATGTAAGAAAAACATGGTTGGATTTTCTTCTTTTTGGATTCTCATAGCTTTTCTTTTTTCTTTTCTTTTATCCCTTTATGGTGTCTTTTTCAAAACAAAAACAAAACACAATGACCAAAGTGATATCCATTAAATGTCTCATTAAGTCAGGGACTGAGGGTGCTTGCTCCCTTTAGTTAGGTTCAATAGAACTCAAGTTTATTTGCCCCCTAAGTGCAGTTCGTTTAGACAGGTGTGAACACAGGAATTGCACTCAGGTGTGCACCAAAACAACCGGACCGAGACCTTCTTGAAAAGGTGGTCTTTGTAAAAAAATAAGTCCCTGATTCGGGCCAAAGCAAGATAACTCTAGGTCTGAAAGCAGCCTGAGCCTGCACAATACCAGGGCCTTGGAATTGGCTCACCTAAATGGAATATAGCCATCAATAATATTATTAACACCATATGTCCTTGTCCTGCTTTGACAAGTCAAAATATCTGTCCTAAGAGGGGTCTATCAATGTCAAAGGGTTAAATATTACAACCACGGATTACCTCTGCGTGACCAGTGCCATGTCCAAACTCTGTAAACTCTTATCTTGCAGTTGAATCTGTTGCATTCTGTTCTCCTCAGGAATACACCATCGATGTCTTCTTCCGTCAGAGTTGGAGCGATGAAAGGCTGAAGTTTGACGGGCCCATGCAAGTTTTACCCCTCAACAACCTCCTGGCCAGTAAGATCTGGACTCCTGATACGTTTTTCCACAATGGAAAGAAATCGGTGGCCCACAACATGACGACTCCAAACAAACTGCTACGACTAGTCGACAATGGTACACTTCTCTACACCATGAGGTGAGCCACTTTGAAATTAATGACACTCTTTCGTTGAGTACTGTACTTTAACAAGACAAAGAGTCAACAGCAACGCTAGCAGCTCTGGTGTGCCAAAAAATATTCTACAATTTCTACAATCAGGCTTTCACTTCACCATCTGCGTCACCAATTTCCTGTCTCCAAAACATTCGTAAGCATGGGTCAAAGTTTCTCCCATTAAGTCTGTTGCACCGGTCAGGCCATGACATACACCCATCAGCCAAAACATTAAAACTTCTGACAAGTAAAGTGAATAACTATGATCATCTTGTTACAATGCAATGTTCTATTGGGGAATCTTGGGTTCTGACATTCATGTGGTTGCCTCCTGTGCCATGCCACACCACAAAAACTGCTCAGGAATGGCCTGAGGAACTTGAGAAAGAGCTCAAGGCGTCAACCTGGCCTCCAAATTCCCCAGATCCCAATCTGATCAAACATCTGTGGAACTTGCTGGTACCCCACCTCAGAACTCAAGGGACTCAAAAGATCTGAAGCCAGCGCCCTGGTGCCAGACACCAAGGAAGACCCTCCAGAGGTCTTTTGTCCATGCCCTAACAGGTCAGGGCCAAGTCTGGTCCAAGGAGGACCCACTGTGGTATAGGGTACCTCTGGGGTACCAACACGTCCCTCAAATGTTCAATCAGATTGGTATTTGGGGAATTGGAGGCCAGGTTGATGCCTTGAGCTCTTTGTCCCATTCCTTGGTTCATTCCTGAGCAGTTTTTGTGGTGTCGCATGGTGCATTATCCTGTAGGGGGGGTCACTGTCATTGAGAAGGTCTGTTGCCATGAGGGGGTTTATTTTTCTGCAACGGTGTTTGGGTGGGTGGAGCATGTCAAGTAGTTTCCAAATGAATGCCAGGAACCAAGGTTTCCCTGCAGAACACTGCACCGTAACAAGATGATCAATGTTATTCACTTCACCCACCAATGGTTTTAATGTTGTGGCTGATTGGTGTACCATGCAATGAAAATGCGACATAACTTGCACCAACATGCTGATGTTAAGTAGGTGTAATGTTAGCCCTATTCACCATCTTTGTTTAGCATGTTGGCACGCTATCATTTGCTACTGAGCACTAAACGTACATGTACAAACAAATCTTTGACATAGACTCTTTGACATAGACTCTGAACTGACTATACTGAGTCATATTGTCACTGACTGAAGCAGTGGCTTTTAGCACTGAAGCTCCTCACTGGTGACTGAAAGCACAGTTTATTAATTAAAAGCTTAGTGAAAGACCACCAGCGCCATAGAAACAGTCATGATGTGAAAGCTGTGATGCAAATAGTGTTCTTGTGAGCCTTTAACCTTTAATAGTGCTTGTCTAGTTTTGCACTAAAATCAACATGAAAGCTTAAACGAGCCACACAAACAGCTTAACTGTGTAATGAAAGGTGATGCATTGAACAGTGATACGGTGCGTTACTTTAGAAAAGCAAATGAGTCACTGACTATATTAACCTTTGAACTGTAGTCAACAAAATGATTCAAAACAGCAAAGAGATTTGTTATTTCCAGATTTATTTGGAATGCCATTAGTTTAGTCACCATCAGCAAAGCATTGGACAAATTAAAAATATTTACTTGCTAATGGTGTTACGTGAGAGGTCAGGAGATCACCAAATTTATTCCGAGTCATCCTGAGTGAGACATGAATATGTGTACCAAATTTTAATGACAATCCATCCAATAGATGCCGAGACATTTCACTTAAAACCACATATATCAGATGGTGCTGGATGAAAAGTTCAGGGATTTAGACTGAAGTTGCGGGGAGCGTCTTGCAGCAGCTATCTAAATCACTTCATCTGTCTGAGTGTCAGATAACTGACTTTCAGCCAGTCTTGGCCGCAGATGATTCACACTCAATGAATAATTACTTGATCAGAGAGTGCCATTGTGCGTATGTCATGCTTAAAATACACCGTAAATAGCATCACAGTCACTGAGTGCCATTATCTACACGACTGGTGCAAAAATGATTCATTGTGGGTGGTTTTCAACTCATCTAATCACTGAATCTGTCAATCAGCCTTCCCCACAGCTTTGCCTTGAAAAGAAGTACTTTTGTGATGCTCGACCCGAAGGTCAGTATTGATTTTCAAGGGTGAAAGTAAAAATAGTGAAAGAACTTTATTTTGTTGTCCCACGTGAGTGGAATTGTGTTGTGGTAGCAGTTCTGTCAAGGCCGAGAAAGACATCTGAGCTCTAATGGAGTATTACAAGGACTGTTGTGTTTACATAACCAAGTAAATGTGTTGGTAAGACGAAGAAGCGAGGTATGATAAACCTCTGTCAGACAAAAGCAAAAAGCATCTTTGGAACCAGCTTATTGGTCATCACATATCCAGTTTAAAGCTAGTCGCTATCTTTTGTGTTGCATTTGCAGCGGGGTTTCTTCAGATCCTGTGGTTTATTATTGGTATTAACAGCTACAAATTATTCTCTTTGACGGTTTCTATTTAATCTGACACCATTAAAAATAAAAATGAATACTTAGGCTAATATACCACTAACATTCTTCACGTACTTGCAAGGATGTTTTAAGTGTTCAATGCCGTAATGACCTTAACTTCATAACAAGAGCATTGGCTGATTAATTGAAGCAGCAATTTGACTATATCGATGGGTGACACTCCAAAAGAGAGACTAATAACTTTGCCACGTATTAGGCTTTAGCATATAAATCCATCTATTTCATAGGAAGTTTATTGTAAATTGGTTCACAACAGTACATTGTGTTCATTTACGCTCCTAACTAAACAACCGCCTCGATCCAATTAATCAGCACGTCTACAGCATCTGCGAAGGTCTTCACTCTGCAGGACTGCATCATTATTTTTGCACTGAGGGAGTTGGTATTGTATCACCAGCGCTGCTGTTTTTGTGTGACAGCATTTATCACTCACTCTCAGTTCACCTCAAACTATATGTGTTTACTGAAGCAATTCTGTTCCCCTGATAGAGAATATTAATCTATGAAAAATAATGTGTCAAAGGCAGTGGTTTATGGCTTTGCCAAAAACTTTTTGCAAGATTTTTTCATTCTTAAATCCCCATATTGGACCGAACAGCTTACGAACCACAGCAACAGTTGGTGTGATGCTGCCTTAAAGCACACACATGGTTTCAGAACATACTTGTGTTATGTAAGTATATAAAAACTAATTGTAATAGCTCTGCACTTTATATTTTATAATCTATCTTGCTTTTTAACCATGTTAGCGCATGGCTACAGTGGTGGCAATGTATAGAGCCTTTAAAGTCCTCTGACCACTCAAAGCACTTTTACACTACATCGCACAATTACTTATTCACACACACATTAACACACAGATGGCCCCAGAGCTACCACTATAGGTGCCACCTGTTCATCAGTTAAACAGTTACATGGATAGATGTATGTATGTATGTATGGATGTATGGATGGATGGATGACACACTCGCATAAGCTCATCACATCGTTCTTACGACCACATACTTCATATCTATAGTTTTAAGATATATTATAAATACTGTACTGCAATTCCACTTTGGCAAGTGGACTGAAGGAGCAGGGGATCAAACCGCCGGTCCTCAGCTTAATGGACGACCTGAGCTACTACAGTGCCCCATCGCCTCTCAAGGAATGGCAATGTTGGTCTGTCCTGGCTGAAATATCTCAACAATTACTGGATGGACTGCCATTATATTTAGTACACATATTCAAGCCCCCCTGAGGATGAACTGTTGTGATTTACTGATCCCATAATAACTTTTCATCCAGCATCACCATCAGGCTTCAGTTTATAACCAAACGCCTGTAAAAAGTAAATCCCATCAATTTCAGATGTACTGTGTTTATTGCTAAGTAGCAAATGTTAGCATGCTTACACGCTAAATTAAGACAGTGAACATGGTAAATGTTATGCCTGCTAAACATTAGCGGGTTAGCATGCTGCTTTGAGCACCTCAAGCACTTACGTGCCTGAGTACAAGCAGCTAGCGTGGCTGCAGACTTGTTGTCTTTACACTTCATTTAAAGTTTTCTCTCTGCACAGAGACGGCTTGTGTTTTTGTCTTTGATCAAAGTATTTCAAGTTGTCTGTATTTTATTTCGCCAGTGTTTCTGTCAGAATGTCAGTACAGCGTAGGCATGAGATGAATTTCATCAATTAGTTGTTGGTTGAAGTGCTGTATGATATGCAGCGGTGCGTTGCTCACTTTTGATTTATGTTGTATTACGTTAATTTGAGTAGTTACAGAGCCACTTATCAGTAATGAGGCAGCAACATAGAGAAGCCAAGAGGGTGTAACAAAAAAAAAAAAAATCACAGGGTTGTTGCAAGTGCAACACAAGGGGCTAATTACAAACAATACATTTGTCTGTAGAAGTGGTCTATGATGTTACTAGTTTTAAAACTGGAGCTGCGATAACCTGTAGGACAGTGGTGAGATTAAATTACTTCTTTCATCAGGCTCTTCATAGAATATACAAGTTTACATGTGAGGTGTAAAATCTGCACACAGCACCAAGGCATATAATACATGGCAAATGAAAACAAATGAGAATTACACATATACTAACTACACTACGTTGCTCAAATAACCCAGTTTGAATCAATGCATGGACTGTAAATGTTGTAACCCAGTTTGTGGTCCAGTTATGAGTACCTCAGTTGAGTGTAGGATGCCTTTATGGGCTGCAGTTTTGTTTGAACTCAGCGAATGTAATCCCCTTGTTGATTAAACATGTATGAGTGAGATAATATGCACCATTTCTCTATTTACATACAGAGTGCACTTTGTGGCTCGGCCGTGTGGCCAAATGAAATAAACTCTGGTGCTCTCTGGAGGGTCTGTCTTTGTTGTCAGTCAGCTGAGCACTCATTACCACTGGTGGCTGCAGGAGGGAGGAGAGAGTGCAATGCTTGTTCTTCCTCCAATTTTTTTTTACAACACACAACTACTGCACACCAAATACATATATTTATTACATTTAAATATATATTATAGTATTTTATTCATTATATATATTATATTTAATGTTTTATGCCATGTTGCTGTACTGTACTCTATTTAATGTTATATTTCTACACGCCATCTTATGTCAATATGTTACTGTTTGTTTTATTATGCCTCCACTCCGGGGATAACTGTGGCCACAGGAAGAACGCCTTGAGGGAATTTCTTCGAATTTGGCACAAATGTCCACTTGGAGTCAAAGATATACTGATTAGATTTTGGTGGTTAAAAATTAAAGGTCAAGTTCACTGTGACCTCATTTCCATCTCATTCTCATGAAACCTACCTTTGGCACAAACATCCACTTGGACTCAAAGATGAACCAATTCGATTTAGTTGGTCAAAGGTTAGTCTCTATACAGACTCTACATTCAGTGAATGTTGAGTCTGTAGGCAAACCCCAGAGATCTTGCCTCTGGAAGAAGAGCAGAAGAGCCCTGGTTTCTGGTTGTAGGCTGTTTGTAGTCCGCATGATATTGACCAATCACGTTTGAGCCGGCTGCAGCTGTTGCCAGGTTAAATGGTCGGTGCTGTGAATTAACAAGGCGAACATAATTGGCGTCACTGCAAACTCTGAATCCATCGCAATGGTTCAGCATATTTACTTATATATAAACGGAAGTCAGAAACGGAAATTTGCCTCCTCCGCCCAAATCAAACCGGAATGCCAAAAAATCAGGGGTCTGCCCCCAGAGGCTGTATCGCCATCTGCCGGAAGTCAGACGCCGAATACAGCCGATGGGTTCTGAGAACGGTCAAAGGTCAACTTCACTGTGACATTATAATGTTTGTCAAAAACACTTTTCCTGCCATTATTCAACGTCATAACTCAGAAACAGAAGAGGAGACTTTTGGTAAAATACTGAATTAGTGACAGAGGAGGGATAGTGAATATATCAGTAGAAGGATGCTAAGGTTGGAACTGCCAGGCAAGAAGCCTAGAGGAAGACCAAAGAGGAGATTTATGGATGTAGTGAAAGAGGACATGAAGGTGGTGTGAGAGAAGAGGATGCAGAGGATAGAGTTAGATGGAGAAAGATGATTCGCTGTGGCGACCCCTAAAGGGAACAGCCGAATGATGAAGAAGACTGAATTAGTGACACTCTTGGGTGTCCACCTTGAAACTGCTGATTGTGTAGATCATCTGTCCTGCCGGGTTGAAGATGTGTGTGAAGCATTAATGTTTTAGAATATGCAGCTTCTTTGCAGCAACATTCATATTTTAAGCATCAACTTTCATGGCTACATATGAGTTTGAACAGACATGGATGTAATCTGTAACTGCAACTTGACTGGTCCACAGAGGTACATTATGTACTTTATTATATTTCAGACCAATCGCCAGAATAAGTGTCGGCATTATACATTTCTGCAAACCGTGGATATGTTACATTTATATGTTATTATGTAGCTGATACATTGAAACTTTACGTTTCAGTAACATGGTGGTAACATGTGGTTAGGTTTAGGCACAAACACTGCTTGGTTATGGTTAGGAAAAGACCATGTTTTGGATGAAAAGTCTTGATTTGGTGGCACTATCCCACCAAATGCAACAATGTCTGGGTGAAAAAACAACTGCTTTTCGTGGCACTATCACCAGTGGAAACACAGCAACGGGTTGCTAAGAAACACCCATGTTTGGTGGCTAAAACAGAGATGAAAGCCCAGCGATGCCTTGCTAAAAAAATGGCTTTGTTGTTTGTTGCACTCAAACAGTGCTGGAGTTTGGCAGGCGTCTCGCCCACGTGTCCCGCCATCAGCCATCCCCTCCACCTCCAGATGACAATGTCAGCTCATATACTCTGCACTTCATAAATGCTGATATGATACATGGTGAAACATATCTGTGGTTTTCAGAAATATACGATGCCAACATTTTCTGCTGGCGACTGGTCTACATGCACCGATCAGCCAAAACATTAAAACCAAACTGAATAACATTGATCGTCTTGTTACAATGCAGTGTTCTGCTGGGAAACTTTGGGCTCCTGGTATTCATGTGGACCTAATACATGCCCCAGAGGTACCCCCGATTGACAGTGGGGCCTTTTTGGATCGGACTTGGCTCTGACATGTCAAGGCATGGACACAGGACCTCTTGGGGGGGGGGGGGGGNGGGGGGGGGGGGGTTTGGAGTCTGGCACTAGGGCATTGGCAGTGGATCCTTTGAGACCTGTCAGTTATGAGGTGGGGTACTGGCACGTCAGGTTGATGCCTTCCACTCTTTAATGTTCTTCTTCAATGTTTTGGATGATCAGTGTATTTCTGTATTAACACAAACAGTTTAATTACTGAATGATATTATATATCATTCTAGCATAGGCTGATATACAACATAGTATCATATTACTCTACATATTCCATATTTTGCGGCAACTAATCACATCACTTGCTTGAGACGGTCCTGATATATTAGTTTTCATTCAACACCAGTTGTGGGTACTTTGTGTACTGGCTGCTTTGTTGAATGTAATTGCTCTTGTATTGTTTTAATTCTGATATTTACTGTATATACAGTGATTTTTTATTACACTTGTATAGAATATTATGTACATTTCCCTACATGTTCTTATTTCTGTCCTTGTGCTGCTGCAACACCTGCCTTTCAAAAATATCTCAGAGGGCATTTATATAATGTCTTCAGATGAATTTTGATCTATGAAAATGCACTGTTTTGTTTTTGTTGACATATGTCATGACGTGTTTGTGACAGCGGCCTCAACCCTACAGCAGTGCAGCCTGACCGGTGTAGTATTGTCTCTCCCTGTCTCTCCCTCTGCCCCCCCTCAGGTTGACCATTCATGCTGAGTGCCCCATGCACCTGGAGGATTTCCCGATGGATGCACACGCCTGTCCTCTGAAATTTGGAAGTTGTAAGTCAGTCCAGATGGTCACAACAACACAGACTTTAATATAAAGTCTCACTGCAGAAACAGTAGTGATTGTTCTCTGCAGGCGTTAAGTGCCTTTCCTGTTCTGAAAAAACTTCAGAGGACTCAAACTTGCACTAACCACTAGGAATAAGATACTGTGGGAAAACTTTTATTAGAAGTTTCTCTTTGAGCAACAAAGCAAAAGTAGTCAACTGCTGGCTTGAAGCGAGAGTTCCCTTGACAAATTCCTACCCAAGAGTCTACAGCTGCTTCTGGCTCTGTGAGGCTGTACTTGGGTAATTTTTACCATGCTCGCCATCTTAGTGTAGCATGTTAACGTGCTACCATTTTCTAATTAGGAAAAGCAATAAATACAAAGCACAGCGGAGGCTGGTAGGAATGTCATTAGTTTTGCAGCTATTACAGTTTCGCTGATTACTGTTCTCTCTGTTTCCCAGATGCTTACACCAATAACGAGGTGATCTACCTGTGGACCCAGGGAGATGAGAGGTCTGTTGCTGTTGCAGAGGATGGCTCCAGGCTGAACCAGTATGACTTACTGGGACATGTTATTGGCAAGGAAACCATCAGTTCCAGCACAGGTACATTATATGCCATCCTCTTCCCAGAGACTGGTATTGTCTATTTACTAGAGACGTCAGTTTGGTTGATTTTGCTTTCGATAGCCTAACACCCATGATACGCTAACTAACTGGTTCATCTTGTGCTGGGGGGGATGGGGGGGATGACAAGATGCGCTTTTCTTTTAGGTCCAGCGTTTTATTATTGACTCAGTGACCTTTGTCACCACATTTTGAAGTGCTATCCATTTAGAAATGGTGAAATTTTAATGCTTTTTGATGTAAATGTATTGCCTTTTATTTCGTTTTCATTGGCTTTGCTAACAGGCACGTAGCTAGGTGCATTAACATGCAGAAACATCATACCCACTGCCCATCCAGGTCACCTTTGTGAGTGAGCGGCTTAATTTTGAACCAAAAAAACAAACAAACGCTTTAACACATTTGGCAAACATTTAACATAATTCGATATTAATTTTAGCTCTGTGTGAAGTAAATAAACGTGATGTTTTCCGACTAATGCTCCGTTCGTCTGCCTTTCCGACACAGTTTACACATTTTTAGAACCACTGATTTATTAAATCTGAGTTCTAATAAGTGAAAGATGACACTGAACTTTGCAGCAGTAACATAAAGTAGCTAAATAAATAACTTCAGAGGTTAATTTTATGATATGAAAGAGGTACAGTAAATAAGTAACACATCCTCAGCCCAGAGACTAAACACACAATTAAAGGTAATGCCATGCTGATATTTTCCACAGTGGGTTGAGAATGTGGTCAGACAGGGAAAGACAGGGATATCATGCACTAATGTTTAGTGACAGACCTGTCATTGAAGGTGTCATCGTCTTCAGCAAATTCAAATTTAATAGAGGGAATCGCCTTGTTGTTTACAAATACTTCCGGGTAGAAAACCAGCAGAGTTTAGCTATCTCACATTTTTCAAGTCACTATATCACCGTATAGACTAATCTGATGTTTGTAAAGTCTATAAACACAATGATTGAACAAACATTACTATTTCTGTGTGCACGTTTTGTAATTAATAACATGGTTATCGTAGATTAGCTGGGCTAACCGTTAGCTGTTAGCCGTTAGCGGTGTCTGTAATAACTCAGTAACTCAATAAACGGTCCGTGAAAAAAATATTCTTTCCAGCGGATATCTTAGTTACAACATGATTGAGCTAGCAAAGCAGTTTTGTGTTGCTATGTGTGGTATTTATTCAGTTTTGGGAAATCACGATGTCTAGAAAGCATCAGTTGACAGGGACAGCTAACAGCAGCAGCAAAGCTAACATCAGGACGTCATCTGTTAAAAGCCTCCCGTTGTCGGATTCGACATGAAACTACTCCAGTTACCTCAATCATGTTATTAATTACAAAACGTGCGCACAGAAATAGTAATGTTGGTTCAAGCATTGTGTTTATAGACTTTACAAACATCAGATTAGTCTAAACGGTGATATAGTTACGTGAAAATTATGATATATATATATATATACATATACACACAACATAGTGCTAGTACTACTACTAAACTGAAAAACAGCAAAAGTAACCTACATATATCATCGGTTAACCATTAAACATGGACGTGCCTACATCGTACATTAAATCAAATCCGATATGGTGTGTTTTTAACAAGCAGGAAAAAAGGTCTTAAACTAGGACTGGGAGGAAAAAAATCAATACAGCATAGTATCACAATATTTTTGTGTGGCAATACTGTTTTGTCACACAGTGCCATGTATCATTTTTTTTATTATATACTTATTTATACAAATACAAATTAAGCTTCAGACAGCCTACTTGAATAATATAGTCAGTTGCTTTTTTTTCGGACTGAATGCAATGATTTGTCGAGCGTCCTGTCTGTCTTCCCCACGTGGAGGCCTCCAACTGACGTAACCACCTGCGTAACAACCAAGCAAAGCACCCCATTCAGCTTGCATGCCTGCAGTGTAAACATGCTGGACAACCAAGAAACATTTTATAGCAGTGTAACAGCTTTTTGCGGACATACCAAAGTCTATTTTGATGTAGGATACTGCAAGCATTGAAAATAAATTAGTGTGTCATGGGATTAAAACTCCCACCTTTGAAATATAAACTCTTATTAGTTTTTCTGCATAAAACCTGCAATAAATTACATTGCCTCCCTTTTTTTTCATAGATACTGCCACTCTTTTGTTTGTTTCCATAAAGTAACAGTCTGCACTTTTCTCCCATTTCTGTCATTTTGGATTCAGCTTGCATTATTTGGGTCCATCGAGAAAACGATGACTTGTCAGTTTTGGGGAAACTATTCAGCATATTTACAAAGATAATATACGGAGATGTGCCAGAGGTGAAAAAATTATTTCCATTCTATTTAGGGCTACATAGTGCACAGTCAACTTCAGTAAGCACAGTATTAAGAGGGGAAACTGCCAGCACATGCTTTTGATTACATATTAATTTTCTCTTCATCAAAACTGTTGCAGGAACCTTTAATGTGTCGCATACGATCATATCACTGTCTTTATTTCCCTACTGGGGGACAGGAAGCTTATGGTTACACTAACATGAAGGGATGATAACAAGGTAAGGGCTGGGCACTGACACACACTAGTAACAAAGAGGCATAGAGATCTACCAAGGAACTAACATCAATATAACATTCAACATCAATCACCAGCTTTAGGTAACAGTGAAAGAAGGCTGGCTGAAGTGCTGAATACAGCATAGCTATAGATAAAAGGTTACTTCAATGGGGCAGTTGGTAATTACTGAGAGAGTGCATAGCTTACAACTGAGCCATACTGGCTTCACATGTTGAGAGAGAGTTAACCTCTGCGGTGAAGACATTAGCTTGTGCAGCTCTCGAGAGGTGAGCTATCGAGTCGAAGAGATCTTGTGTTTGGAGAATAGACCATCACGAAGCTACTCTGTTGGATGGCACTCAGCCTGTTTTCATAGGAAGTGAAAAGGTGTGTGTAAAGCTTTTGAAATAACAGCACTTGTACGACTCTACACAGGACACTTTCCTTGAGCTCATCGTTACTGTAGTGCTGGCTGTTGGGTGGTTTAACCTCAAGTCAATCGCTGAAATATTTTGAGGGAATGAGACCAACTGAAGTTTGGCTACAAGTACAAAAATCCAAAGTGGAGTCAACATCTTTTATAACCTGGTCCAGCTTGTGGATGTGGAAAAAAATATCTGATTTCTTTAAACTTTAAACCTAATGGACTACAGTGAGCCAAGGGAATGGGGGGATTTGAGCCAGTTCAGCTCTGGTTAGAGTCAGTCTGCTCAGAGAAGACACCTCGGGGAATGAAAGGCTGTTTTTCTCATATCTTTGCAACACAGATTACAGACATGGCAATGAGAGCTAGTGCTTCAGGGAACATTTGCTGCCGTCAGTGACAAAATCTGAGCTGTAGGAAATGTTCAATATCAAGGGTTAGGATGATGCAGGCGGATGTTCTTCACATCTACAGCAAAGAGACATAAAGGAACATGTGAATATGTTTTTAAAGGGATATTCCATTGAAAATCAAAAGCATCAGCTTGGAAGATGGCTCTGAAAATGCACACCCTCTTTGTGGAACAGACTTTCACAACCTTCACAACTTTTTTCTATTACTTTTTTCTGTATCTCAACTCAAGGTTTTCTCTGATGCACAACTGTCCTCTGCTTTCTGTTATGTCAATAACACAGGTGCTGCTTTGCCTTGACCTCTATCCCCTTTCACAGAAAAGACATTTGTATCATCAGATCTGCACCAAAATCATTCAAATCAGTGATGTCGACTGTCAAATCTTTTGTTCCCATCTTTCCAAAATCTGCTGTCTTTTTAACTGAAGTGTAACGGAGGTCAGCTATGTGAATTGCTTTATACAGAATGCACTGTTTTCATATGGTTTAATAGCTCGTTCAAGGGACTGAATACAATCCCATGAGCTACCTCGATGATGCAAATGTTCTAACTTTAATAAATCTGACTTTGAATATTTCAGCTTGTGTTTCTCCCATCTGGGCAAAGCTGTATTAATAATTATGACCCTGTGTGTCTCTCTCCATCTCTCTCTCTGTTTCTCTCCTCTCCCTCAGGAGAATATGTAGTGATGACAACATATTTCCATTTGAAAAGGAAAATTGGCTATTTTGTGATTCAAACCTACCTCCCGTGCATCATGACTGTCATACTGTCTCAGGTCTCCTTCTGGCTAAACAGAGAGTCTGTTCCTGCTCGCACTGTATTCGGTGAGTGTCATCTTGTGTTTATGATACAAAAAAAAAAAAAAAAAAAACACTAAATGATTGATTGAACAGGTTGGATAATTTGGTGGAGCTTTTAAAATATGAAGGGAGAGGTAAACAAATGTACGGTCACGTCGCCAGATGATTCAGCAAATTGCATAAACAAGTGGAGGGTTTAAAAAATGTTCCCCTTGAAAAGTTTTAACACAATAATGTGCAAAACAGCTTGATGCATTAAGCTGCACATGGGCATGAATGCGTGACTTATTTTTTCCCAAAGCTTTTATCACAGTATTGACTTTCTTCTCCCTCTGCTAACTTCAAACACCAAGTAATCAAACACTAGTTGAAACTAAGTTTGAAAGTGGCAAAATGGAAAAGTGTGACATGTGGTAGACGGTGTGTTGCATCAGGATGTCGGGCTGTCAACTACATAAACAGACTAAAGTGTTATTACCATGGTGTTACACCTGGGTCTGAAAAGTAAAACCACTGCAAACGTGCCTTAAACCTGCATTGTTTCAAATGGCCAGCAGGGGGAGACTATATAGACTCCACTGGCTGACTTTATAGGCATCTATGAGAAAAGACCCTACTTCTCATTTCATTTATTAGTTCAGGAAACATTTCCCCTATTAGTTTATGGTCTCAATCACCAGGTTCAAGTCTTCATTTTGCAAATTATGGTCCCATTTGGAGCAAAATAGTAGGGCTGCCCCCAACTAAGAATTTTCCTGGTCAACCAATAGTCGTCATTTAGGGCCATTAGTCGACTTGTCGCCCGCATCTTTACGATATTAATTTAATTATCAAATTACACATTGTGGGCGGGGCAACACAATGGTTTGAGTTGAAGGTGTGAGAAAGAATAGTATCAGTAACACTGTTAACACTGTGCTACATTACAGAGAAATACAAAACCGTACTAATGAACCTTCATTAATATAGGCCTATATTTTATCTACAAGTGCACGTCACACACTGATCCCAAGACTGCATTGTAGGTGGGGGATAAGTAGTGTCATAGTCGTCATGACACTACTTATTCCCCACCTACAATGCAGTCTTGGGATCCCTCCCCAGACGACTTCACACCCATTCACCCCTGGTCCCACCTGACCCTAACGACTCACATGGTGGCCAGGTGGGACCTTAACGACTCGGAAACTAAGAGCTCACCTGACCCCTATGACTCTGCAAGGGTTCCCACCCACACAGGGTTTATAGCCTGCAACTTTGTACCAGTCATTTAGAACTGAAGAAGCTTCTTGGATGAGAGGCGAAATGTCTTCAAGAAATGCAAGCAAGTCCAGTTGCCTACGATATTAGCACTTACGGTTACCATGACCTGGATGACTGAGAATCTTCACCGACAACTCTATGGGTTCATCCCAATATCCTTCCTCGACTCCTCCGTCCTCTATCCTTGATCACTTGACCCGGAAATCGATTGAGACTCGGCAAGGATACACGAGCGCAGCCTTCGCGGAAGTCTTTTTACCAACCGACACACCCCCTGATTGAATATCAGTTAGATTGTCTACCTTGTCACTGACAAGTTGCTATTATGGTGGTGTCCTCAGGTTCTCAGTTAGATCCACCCCTCGCTCCTCACCAGCTCAACCTTTTCTTCAAAGCATGTTCACTTCTCACTCCAAGAAACTAAAATGCCTAAAGCCAAAAAACCAAACTAGGGGCTTCAAAACAGGAGTCCACAAACTTATGGATGATGTCACCATGGCTACGTCCATTATTTTATTCAGTCTATGGTTATTACTGACAGAGCCTTAGAAAGAACAAGACACATTAGATTTAAATTCATAGATAATCCCACCAAAGTTGGACCTTAACTGAAGGTCAAATCAGACGTGTGCAGTAGTGGAACAAGATGATTAAGTTTCAAAAATCAGACCATTTACACAACAGTGTCATTGTTACTAAAGAGGACACAGAATCATTTAACCAAATCTGTCCTTTCACAGGAGTACCTTATATATTACAAATCATATGCTAATATTTGCTGCATATGTGACATGTGTTACCCTCTCTTTGTGCTGTGATTAAGATTTAATTTGTACATCCGGCACCATTCATGTTGAGAACATTGTGTCTGCTTAGATCACCCTGTACTCAAAGATGAGATGTAATTTCCTCCTCCTCTTTCAATTGTTGTTGCCGTGCTGCATAATCTATGAAAGTGCCCCTTAACCTGTCTTTTTGAATAATTAGCATTCTGATTTGGAAAATGAAGCACACGTGTGCAAGAAGCAGCACACACTGTACAAAAGATGTTGAATAGCATGCAAAACAAGGGGCCGGGGAGGAAATAAAAGCCTATTACAGCTACCTATTGCCATGCTTTCTTCTGAATAAACATGGGGTTCTTCAGCTCTCCACACACACACACACACACACACACACACACACACACACACCAACAACAACAGTTTTTCTTCAACCTTGAAAACATTTCAGCCACAGGAGAAATTACATTTTCAGAGAAACATCTCCTTCACATGAGGAGAGACGCTGTAATCAGTGTCATTTTCTCAGTGGAATGACTGAAACGTTATCTGTGAAGGGCACAGTTCCCAGCAGTGTTAACATCTGCTTTTCTTGTTCACACAGTCACACTGATCAGCTCAAATAAGGATCTGTTCTGAGCTGCTGTGCGTTGTAACTAAACTTATTCATCATTTCTGTTCCTGGTAGGCTTTCAAGTTGTATTTTGTGGCAGGATTTGAGAATTGATACCAGATTTAAAGTGGCAATCTTGAGGATTTTAGTCCCATTGATTTGGCGACACCTGTATTTCCAGGAGGAAACAGTGCATGTGGTTTAATAGTACAAGCCACAGAGTACTGGGGGCAGCGAAACAAACCACTGTGAGGCAATAAGTGGCTTTTTTCCGTCATTTTCTGAGCAACTGTGATCTGATTTTATGCTGCACATGGCGTGAGTCTGTGGACAGCAGGGCACAGTGAATTATGCTGCCTCACTAAGTTGGAGGTGTGCAGCCTGTTACCTGCAGCTCTTCATCTAATAGCTCACTGTGGCTGCTTCTGCTTACTCTCTGCAACATTTTAAAACTCAGCTGTCACAAAATAGGGATGTCACGAGAACCGATACTTAAGAACCAAGTCGAATTCTGAAAACATTACGGTACTGGTTTTCTTAAGTACTGTAGGTACCTGGGATGTAATTATTCCGTACCTGACATGGTAGGATATATACTTACAAGTGTTGTATTGTGCCGTTTAATGCCAAAGGAAGAAGCAGGCCCACCAGCACAGAAGAAAAATACGTGAAAGACAGCGACAAATGCAGCTGCAGCCACAGCTCAGCATGGACTTGTTGAAAAGAAATGTGTTTTTTTTCTCAAGGCTAGCTAACAGAATGTGTATTCTGGGCTGTGCACTGCACTGCAATTTTTCAACTCTTAGTGACCAGAAAAAAAGGCGAATTTTGGGTAAAACTCAAGGTCAAGGTCGCTTCTCTCCCAGTAATCCATTCACAGAGGAGGAGGGGGAGGGACAAATAGCCTACCCCGAACACCAACCATGCATCTTGTATGTACAAGTGCTAAACAACAATAATAATAGAAGAGAGATATGTTCTTATAATGGAGGCTACGTATTAGCACGTTTCCTCGCCCACAAAATCTCATGAACCCACATAGACGTGCACTTTGCGTTCGAGGCAGATCATCAGGGATTCATGATCAAATTTAAATAATGTTTTAAATAAAGAAGTGTTTAAGTCCATGGAATTTAGTGTTTTGTTTTTGTTTTCTACCATAGTTTTGAATTGGGCATCGAGAATTGTAGAATACCACTTGGATTGGTATCAACTACAAAATGTCTGGTATCGTGACATTGCCGATCAAAGTATGCCAAAAATGACCATTGCCCTGTTTTGTGGACACATTTTTGGTGTAGAACAACTCACTGAACTGAAAAACACACTGCATTTCCTGTGACTGCTTCATAATAAAAGCCAACTTGTGCTTCACCAGTTAAAGGCTTTTAAATACTTGCAAAAGGCGTCTGAAAGCAGCACAAGAAAAGTGAAGTCGCTCCAGGTCTCAAAAGGTTAATGTGAAGCTGCGGCAGTAGAAAATGTTTGGTTTACATTAGCCATTGTGATACCCCAATTGGAGATGGATAGTGACTAAACAGACCTTTATTTAAATTAAAATCTTTGATATTACTTTGCTTTAAGGATGCCCTCAGTGAAAGCACAAGTACCTCAAAATTGTCAAATTATTCAACAGCAATTCGTCAGCAACCTTTTTTAACACTGTCATCATAAAACCTGTGAGGAATAACACTATACTAACTTCAAATATATCAAATGGTGGAATAAAGTCAAGTTATGCAAACTGCAGGACCAGAAAATAAGTTCATGTGTCCTTAAAGAATTCGAATAGTTACCCATCAATCTTGTTGTCACAAATTCTAATTTCCCTGCCACGACTCGCTGAGATAAGTTGACCCCTCTGTTCTGCAACACAATATTCATTTGAAGAGCTCACTGTGTATCTATTTCTCCATCAGATGAGATAGGTTGGAACAGATGAAGTGATTGCTTTTATGTGGTTGGATGGGCGGCCATTGTCCGACCCACATTTCATTCCCTGCAGGGCTGCAGCACTGAATGCAAAGGCCAGGATGTGAAATTATTTGCTCAGATGGAGGTCTATTTTCACTTTCACATGTATTGTAATTTAAAGCCTTCACTGTAGCTAACCTTTGCACATAATGGTGCACTTGAGATGGCTCTCAGTAGGCATGTCTGTCTCGTTTTGTGTTCAAGGCGAAGGAAATTTAGTATTTTTACATCTTGGGTCTTTTTAAAATGGGCTTTATGGACTTATATTCAATGTGTATTGCTGTATATATTTTGGACCTTTGACACAGCTTTATAAGGGCATATACTGATGCCAGAAAACACATGCATTAAACTGTTAAAGACAAGTGCAGCCCAAAACAGAAGCTAGTTCCTTGTAGTTTTAACCTGCAAGACTGGACCAGCATACGTTTATGCACCATTCAATTTTGTTAGTTGAGATAAAACAAAATGCCATTCACCAAACGCCAGAGATGAAGGTCGACCTGGACAGTCCTGCTGCTGTTACGTTGCAATGCGTGTAGTTTTACTTTTTTAGTTACACTGATCATCCAAAACAATAAGACCACTGACCACTGATGTGCTGGAAAACCTTGGGTCCTGCCATTCATGCGGATCTGTCGACCTGGCCTCCAAAGTCCCCACATCCCAATCCAATTGAACATGCGTGGGAAGAGCTGGATAAAGTCAGATCCATGGAGGCACTACCTCGACACTCATAGGCCCCAAAGGATCTGCCGCCAATGCCCTGGTGCCAGGCAACCCAGGACAACCAAGGAGGCCTCAGCGTGGATCAGATTTGGCTCTGACCTGTCGATGCATGGACACGGGGCCTCTAAAGTACCAGCAGGTCCCACAGATGCTCGATTGGATTGGGATCTGGGGACTCTGGAGGCCAAGTCAAGGCCTTGAGCTCTCTCCTGAGCAGTTTTTGCAATGTGGCATTGTGCATTATCCTGGCTGTTGCCATGAGGGGGTGTCCTTGGTCTGCAGCAGTGTTTGGGTGGTTGGGGCATGTCAAGTGGCATCCCCATGAATGCCAGGACCCAAGATTAATATTACACAGTGGCAATGTTATTCACTTCATGTGTCAGTAGTTTTAATGTGGATGATCACATAACAGCTTACATGGCAGACTGTTTTTGATTGACTGATTAATTATAGTCACTGCTGCTTCTATCAGCTGTCAATGAGCTGTCATTTGTCTGTGGCTAAACCGATGTGATCTATCTTCCACTAGGCAGAGGACTGTGGGCCAGAATAGTCAGTATACGTATACATACGTATTGGGACATACTAAATCTTTTTCTAAAATAATAAATTATAGTCGTAACTTACACTGAAATGGCTTCCTGGTTTCCAAAAGACACCTATGATGGCACAACCTTTGAAAAGTTTGACCCAGGTTGTAAAAAAACTGAACTGTCCTTTACATGTTTGCTCAGAAAGAGGATCCATTACTAATGTTTTCATTTCATCCTCAGGGGTCACCACTGTCCTAACCATGACCACCCTGAGCATCAGTGCTAGAAACTCCCTCCCTAAGGTGGCCTATGCCACTGCCATGGACTGGTTCATGGCCGTGTGCTATGCCTTTGTCTTCTCTGCCTTGATTGAGTTTGCCACAGTCAACTACTTCACCAAGCGCAGCTGGGCGTGGGATGGGAAGAAAGAGGGCATGGAAATAAGGGTGAGTAAATCTCATTTATATATTTATTCTTATTAAAGAATGTGACACGGCCACACTTTTTTGCTAAACCAAAGAAAATGCAACACAGTTTTTAAGACAGGAGTTTCCTTTCCGCTTTTTTTTTTCTGCAGATGTCTTATGATTTGTTAACCTTGTTAAAATGCTCATAGTTGCTGAGAACGTCCTTGTTTTACACTGGAGGAGTGATGTGGGCAAGTTGCACTTTGGAAACAGTGATAGAAAGTTCCCTCCTTAAAGCAGCCCGGAGTACTCTATAAAGACTATAAAGAGAGCTTTTATTTATTCATTAACAGCCAAATGGAACAGGGACAGTGGGGCGGAACAGTGAGAGCAGAAACAAGAGGTAAACTCCCTGAGACAGTGTCCCTGATTTATGATGGCAGCATATGTCTCATCCTAAAGTCTGTGTAAGCTCATTTTCCTCCCAAAAAATGCCTCCCTTAGATCTAGTTTGCACATTATAGACAGACTGATTAAAAAGTGAGCATGCATTATCTAAAATGAATCACCCGAGGCGGATATTTTTATTCTAGGCTTGAAATCTAATAAATCACAGCTTGCAGATTTTTAATTTGTCAATAGTCTGGGCTGTTTGTGTTTATGAGGATGCCGAGTGACGGTGAGTTTTTTGGTGCTTAACTTAGTTTAAGGACTGGTTTTTATTTGAAGGATGAAGGGGTCCAAACATGACGTTGCTCTCTGAAGCTGTGATGAAGTCACATAAATAAAACCTGAGAATTCCCTCATGTGGTTAAATTTACCACAGTTTCTATGATGTTTTATAAGTGATCACATCAAATGAAAGAGCGGGTACTGAGAGGCAATGATCAAAATGAAAGTACTTGGTCCTGTGCTGAATGTATGAAGTACATACAGCTTCAAAGAGGCTCAGTCGTTCCAGTATTGATGGAAACAAATAAATGATTTTCCCAATTTGTATGGATGGCGTGATTGACAGAATCAGGTGTCGATAGCCAACTGTGGTTTGATTGACACTGCTGAGAAGTAGTCTATAAAATGTGTCCTCCTGTCATAACAGGTATTTATATTCACATCCCTAAAATAATAATTAACGGTTCCAACAAATGTTTTTAGATTTCAGTTAGCTAAGCATGGTGCTGAGAAGACAAAGTCACACTGTTCACTGGCACCAAGAGAGCTGGCAAACACAACCATGTTAGAAACTGAAGGGCAAGGAAATGTATACCTTCATTACCTTGCTTTATATTTAATTATTTTCTTAGCTTTTCTTTTTTCTAAGCAGATAAAAGTCTCACTGGGCTTAAAGGAGCACCGTATGACATCCAGAGCCTTAATATACTAAGTGGAATATTGCCGCCCTGATTAGGGAATGAAGTGACACTACCTCTGTGTGTGTTCTAATCCAGGCTTCTCAGTTTATTGTTGTGGTAGATGGTCCAGTCTGTTAGTGCATATAAGTCTCTATGTGTGTATCCAGCCCATTCTCATTCCGAAGTTGTCCATACCGCCGCTTCGCCAGTGATTTCAGCGTCAGACACAAAAGCCACTTTTGCAGGCGGTGTGAGTAGGTACTGAGCTGGACTTAACCTTTTGGGTGTTACGCCAGTTGGCCAGACGGCACCTGTCGCAGCAGTTTGACACTAGACGGAGGGCGTCAGTTCATAACAAGGCAGGACAGCACCTGTCACTGCAGTATAATACGGCGGTAATGCTGCCAGTAACGATGTAATATAAGGAGCTGGAACAGGTGGGGGTGAGGGACGGTGGATTGGTCAAACAAACCCTGGACTTTCATCCGGGAGTCTGGTCTTCGCTTCCCATATGAATGTAGAGCCAAACCATGTTCTTTTCTTCCAAACCTAACCACAATATATATTATTATAATATTTACCATTAAAGACCACTGACAAAGCAGTGGTAGTTGACAACGTGGGATGAGAACGTGTTCGTGGATCCCACTGGCTAGCTAACTGCCGTCTTGTGCAGCGTGCTCACACCAACCCAGTCGTCAGACCACTGATATTTTACAATTGTATGCTATATACGCCTCATATCAATGCTTCTAAAGTACATGAGCTGAGAGCTGAGAGCTGGGGGGGGGGGGGGGGGGGGGGGGGGGGGGGGGGGGGGGGGGGGGGGGAATCAAGGCAAGATGCCTGCCAAGCTGCAAACCACTGTTTAAGACCAACAAACAATCAAACCAGTTGTTTTTTAAGCAATGAAAGAGACACAAAGTATCTCAGTCACCATACGTTGGTGATTTTTAGCGACCCATCGATGCATTTCCTGCTGGGATAAAGCTACAAGAAGCAATTGATTTTATAGAGACGTCGCTGCGTTTCCTGCTCGGATCAGTACTGTCAGCACTGTTGCCATTGTTAGCACTCTTCATGCTGTTAGCACCATTAGCTGTTGGCCACCTGCTCAGCCACCTCCATGTTGAGAGCTGTGTGCAGACAACATATAAATCATAGATTCGCTCTGAATACTATATAGAGCTCCTTTAAAAACTACTTTTATGTGAAATCTGGTCAAGACAGACAACATAAGCAGGCTAAGGTGAATTACTGATTGAACAGCTAAACTAAGTATAATGGATTCATTCACGAGGCATTTTCACACTCTAAATGGATTGGCACATATGAACAGTGGCAACATACAAAAGAAGTATTAAAATGATGGCCTTCTGGGTTTCGTATTATGCTTGTGAATTATATAAAAATCGCATTTGAAGCATTAAGAAACTGTCCTGTATGGTAAATACTGGCTAGGTCAAAGCTGCCATTATGTTGCTGCTAACACATAAAATGCTGGAATACTTCTAACAGCCACAGACACAACATAAGGAGAACCATATTTCTTCTACTGCGGCAGACAGTGCCACAAATCTATTTTCTGCTACTAATGTACAAACTGACACAATCAGTACAGCCTCTCCAGTTTTTTTTTTTTTTTACAGTCTGACATTTGGTCCTCTGAGTGACTGGCAGGAATGCATATTGCTGCCATGGAACTTTTCAGTCAGTGAGGATAATTTGCAGCGTTACATTGCAGCAGAGAGGAGCTTTTTTTTTTTTATTTATTTATTTTTTTTCCTCTTTTGATGCCTCGTCTTAATGGCAACAGCCTGGGCTGCGTTCTCGGGGGCTGTGCTGAGCATGCAGTTGTCATGATAGATAAAAAAGAATGGGGTCACAGAAGGAGACATTGCTCTCCCATCGCATTCCCCACTAGAATGAGCTACTGGAAAGCAAAGGGATCAGACTACACACTGCTTTTTACCATTTTGAAATATTTACAGTGAAAAATGAACCTATAGGAGGAGGAAGTAGAAGGAAAGAGCATTTTTTAGTCCCTCTGAAAACACCTTACCCAGTCATCTGAGGCAGGGTTTCAGCCACCACCCTTACCGGAACCAAAGGATGACTTCATTGCCCCCAGGCTTCTTCTTTTTAAAGACCGAAATGGTGAGCTGTAGACAAGTCAGTGTGCACTAATTTACTTGGCTGGTTATGGAGTTTCTATGCCATTTTCTTCCCTTTTTGTCGCCTAACGTTCTGTTTGACAAGCGATCTACTTAATTAGTTCTCCCCTAGCCAGCTGAAGGTGTGCTTATTACTGAAATTAGCCGGTGGGGAGTTCGGTTGGAATGAAAGCCTGCGTATTCTCGGCACTCCGTGACACATGATTGGACACTACTGTGTTCGATATTATGTGCTGGTTTCATCAGCAGACGCGGGAGCACTGGCTCATTATGCGATGGGCTTCACTGCTGGAGCCGAGGAGAAATCACCGTTTCACATCTATGCTTCACACCTGCAGCGGCACAAACAACGACATCCACAGATATTTTCAACATAATAATTTGTTAAAAAATGGCGGAGATGCAGCCTGTCATCATCAATCCTAGCAGTCACATTTCAGCATGACAGTGCTCATTTTTCTGAACAACAGGGAAGTTGCGACAGCTAGGTTTGACTAAACTTTTTGTAGCCATGTTATGAATGAGAATTCAGTGCATTCAAGTAGAAAAAAACAAACTTTAGCTGCCATTGCGGGAGGCCTTATTATTGCCTTTGTTGATAAGTTTTCCGACCCATTTTGGCTTGAGCTGGAGGTGTCATTATTCACGATTGTTTACCTCTTGGCAAGCTTCCTCTGCTGTGATCAGGGATAACCTTCCTAATGGAGCAAAATGAGGTGGTTATATTTTGGCCAACCATTACAAACATCAGACATTTCATCCCAGGTGCAAGCAGAAAATATTACATTTGTACTTTTCATGCGTATCATATCAATATTGCTTAAGTAATGGAGATGATTTTGTCATCAGGAGGTAAAGGGGATGGTGAACAGTATCATTTTTAGCACATCATTGCTGTGTTTCCAGCAGCTTTGTAGTCACCACACATGGGTGTTTTTCGAGATCTGTCACTGTTTTTCTGCTGGGGATAATTTGTGACGTCTGGACGTCAAAGTCAGTGGATTTATATGACTATAACAGCACGTTCTCTCACAGAGGACTGGCGACTGCTGTGTCATGTTGTCCAAACTACAGCAGTAAGCAAAAGTCATACCATTGCAGATCTCCTGCAAAATGCAGCACAAGAATGGGAGATTGCGGTTGTAATAGACAATCTGACATGGGTGTTGCCATTCAGATAGCAGGATACCTGCATGTTAAGTGTTTTGCTCACATGCTTAATCTGGCCTCACAGAGGGCGTTAAATCTGCCAACAGTTCAGTTTGTCATGTATGCAGTATTTCTTACAGGATTTAGGACAGTGTTGTTCAGTCTGTCTGCTTTGCATCACATTTTGCTGCAATTAATATGACTTAAGTCAGAAGAACAGACTGACAACTTTATCTTATGAAGTAAACTGATGTTGATAAAGCTTTCCTTTGGGGAAATAACTTGCTGTTGGGAAAAAGATCATAAATCGCAATAGATCACAATATAGCAAAAATATCATATCATGACCTAAGTATCGTGATAG